AGAGGTTGTGAGGTCTGTTGGAAACTAGGAAAATGGGATTTATTTATCTGTGGAATGTCCAGGGTGGGAGAAAGAAATCTTGTCTGTTTGAAGTAGGTGTGAATGTTTCAATTGGCCACCTTGATTAGCATTTAATGGCCTAGCAGTTTCAAGGCCTGGCTTCTTACTGCCTGGGGGAATCCTTTGTTGGGAGGTGATTAGCTGGCCCTGATCGTTTCTTGTCTGGAATTCCCCTGTTTTTGAGTGTTGTTCTTGATTTACTGTTTCTTTTAATACTGGTGGCCAGATTTTGTTCATTTTCATGGTTTCTTCCTTTTTTGTTGTAATTGTCCACATGCTTGTGGATTTCCATGGCCTCTCTGTGTAGTCTGACATGGTGGTTGTTTGAGTGGTCCAGCATTTATGTTTTCAAATAATATGCTGTGTCCAAGTTGGTTTGTCAAGTGCTCTGCTATGGCTGACCACTATGGCTGAAGTAGTCTGCAAGTGCCTTTCATGTTCCTTGAATCGTGTTTGGGCAATGCTGCTTTTGGTGGTCCCTATGTAGACTTATCCACAGCTGCATGGTGTATGGTAGACTCCTGCAAAGGTGGGAGGATCCCTCTTGTCCTTTACTGAATGTAGCATTTGTTGGATTTTCTTAGTGAGTCTGTAGATAGTTTGCAGGTTGTGTTTCTTTATTAGCTTCCCTATGAGGTCAGTGGTTCCCTTGGTAAGAATACTTTTCCTCTGGGTGGATCTTTGTCTTTACTCCTGTGGCTTGTTCTCGGTCTTGCAGCTCATTTATAAGTAATTTTCCAATATATGCAGAAAAAAACGAATGGCAAATTTTAAAATCATCTACACTTGGCAAACTTGTGGAGAGGGGAGGAATAGACTGCTGGTTCAGGAGTACACAAGGAAGAAGGCACTAGGGCTGGGGTGGGACTGAAATTGAAATAAATATTAATAATAACCTTTCTCCCCAGGGGGGCTCTAGGGAGTCAGCCCAGTTATTGGTTCTCTCTAACCCAGTGGTTCTCAACCTGTGGGTCCCCAGATGTTTGGGCCTTCAACTCCCAGAAATCTTAACAGCTGGTAAACTGGCTGGGATTTCTGGACGTTGTAGGCAAAAAAAAAAAAAAAAATCCTAGTAGAATACACACACATATACATACAATAACATGGCCTTCAAATCACCCCCCCCCAAACGCATGCCCACCCACACCTCCCTAGAGGAATTTGTAAAATAAAAGATGGCACAAGGAAGGTAAGAAAAGATAATTTAATGAATATAATGCAAACAATAAATCTCAAAAAGCATTCCTAAACAACAGTAGCAGCAGCCAGGCACTGAAGAACAACAAGCAGAGCTACTAAGTGCAACGTTCCCTCTCTCTCAGCACACGACGATGCCACAGAAAATGGATGATCTCGGCGTGGTGTTGTCTGAATGCCCGATCACCGTCTCCCAGAGCAGTTACTCTACTCCGAACTCAAGAACGGGAAATTGAATGTTTGGTGGACAGGAAAAGAGATTTAAAGATGGGCTTAAAGCCAACCTCAAAAACTGTGGCATAGACACTGAAAACTGGGAAGCCCTGGCCCTTGAGCGCTCTAAGTGGAGGTCAGCTGTGACCAACCGTGCTGCAGAATTCGAAGAGGCACGAATGGGGGTTGAAAGGGAGAAATGTGCCAAGAAGAAGGCATGTCAAGCCAACCCTGACCAGCAAAGCCTTTCATCTGAAAACCGATGTCCTCACTGTGGCAGAACATGCAGGTCAAGAATAGGGCTCCACAGCCACTTGCGGACCCACTGCCAAGACACCGCATCTGCAAGACAATCATCCTTGAGCTATGAGGGATTGCCTAAGACAAGACAAAGAAAAGAGTATTATTACATGACAATGTTATTATTTCTCTATATTATTATATATGGGTGGCCTTTGATTATGTCTGCCTACATGGCAGAAGCGGGCTGCTCCAAATGGCCATTGGTGCTTCTATACAGACTGCTGAGGTGCCCCAAAGCACCTTCCGCTCCGAAGAGCCCCACCTCCCATTCCTTTCAGGAGCACCTTCTCTCCCTCCCTTGAGGCGCATGTGCGGCTTCTGCGCTAGGTGGCAAATCAGAAGGGAGAGGCTGGGGGGGGGGGGGGGCTTGCGAGCCCTGCTCAGAAATCAGAAGTGTGAAGGCGCCTCAAGGAACTCCATCGGCAAGATGGTGGGAGGGGAGGAGGACATGATGCGCATGTGTACTTAGCCGAAGAGGCGGGAAGGAGTCGTGAGGGCGGGGTGGGAGAGGTGGCAGGCTGGTGGATGGCTGGCAGGAAGCATGTCTCTGCGCCCCAGATGTAGGCTGGGCCCTGGTGGGGAGGAGGAGGGCCGGTAGTGCACCCTTGGCCTCCCTCCCTGCCAGGAGGACCTGGAGCGCTCCCTGCTTGCACCACCTCCTTCCCTGGGCCCGGGCCCTGGCCTCACCTCTACCTGGGACAGCCTCCGGGTGGCTGGCAGGCTGGCCCAGGCTGGGTAGGCCGCCTCCGCCCCTCCTCCTGGGCAGCAGGAGGGCCTGGAGCGGGGCCTGCACGCTCAGCAAGGGGGAGGCTGCCTCCCCTCTTGTGGCCCCAGCTTGGCCCTGCCTGGGAGAAGTGCCCTGAGGGCAGGGAACATCCAGGGCAGGACCAGGTGGGACTCCTCACGAGCCTCTATGGCCTCCGTCTTGAGGGCCCATATCATGGCCCGCTTCTGTGCTGCCTGCACCACCCCCTTTTGCCAAGGTGGGGCCCACAGGTGGGGTCTTGACGTCCTGCAGAGCTCATCTCCAGAAAAATCTGCAAAAGAAAAAAAAAGCAGGAAAAGATGTGAGGGAGGGAGGGTGAGAAAGGCTCACTGGGGGGCAGGGAAGGAGGCAGGGGACATGGATGTGATTGTGATGGGGCGGGAGTGATAGTGACATGGAGGGGGGCTTCAGGGACCCTTCTTCTGAGGCTGAGAGGGTTTGCCCTGCCCAAGTCCATCCAGAGCTGGGGGGGGGGGGGTCAGACCTTCCGCTTTGAGCTTCTAAGCCACACTTAGTCACTACAAAGTACTAGTCCTTACAGAGCTTTGCCATGGCCTTTCTCTGAGGCTGAGAGAGTGTACCCTGCCCAAGTTCATCCAGGGCTGGGGGGGGGGGGGGGGGTTCAGAGGCAAACTGGCTGATGCCAAACCGACTGTGTTCTGGATGTCTAGAGGCTTTCAAGTAAAGGCTGGATGGCCTCTCATAGCCTTTGATTGTGATTGCCTGCCTGGCAAAAGGGGGTTGCACTGGATGTCCCTTGGGGTCTCCTCCAACTCTATACAGACAACTGAGGAGTCCTGCCTCCCATTCTCTTCAGGAGTTTCCTCCTAACTTCAAGCGCACAGTGGCTTCTTTTCTAGGCGAGAAAGTCAAAAGGGAGGGGCAGGGGCCACGTGAGCTTCCCTCAGAAACATGAGATGGGAGGGCACCTCAACCAAACCCCATTGGCAAAGGGGAGGATGGGTGGGGAGCAAATGAGTTGTGTGCATGTGTGCTTACCTGCAGTCGCGGGAACTCTGGGCAGGACTCTTCGGTGAAGTCCAGGAGCAGCGGGGGGGGGGGGGGGTCACGGGGTCCTCAGGCATGCGGCAGCAGTGAGGGATGGCGGGCAGGAAACAGCCCTCAGCATCCCTGACGAGGAGGGGCCTACATGGTGCGCAGGGACAAGCGCAAGGCAGGCAGCGCCCCCTCCTCAGCCTTCCTTCCTGCCAGGAGGCCCCGGAGCACTCCCTGCTTGCACCACTTCCCTCCCTGGGGCTTGGCCCTGCCTCCACTTGGGATGGCCTCCTGGACAGCTGGCATGCCCAGGCTGGACAGAGCCCCCTCTGCCTTAATCCTCCTGGGCAGCAGGAGGGGCTGGGGAGGGCCCTGTTTCCTCAGTGGGGGAAAGAGGCTGCCTCTCTGCATGCGGCCCCAGCCTGGGAGGGGTGCCGCGAGGGGTGGGAACAGCCAAGCTGGGACCAGGCGGGGGTCTTCGCAGGCCTCCATGGCCTTTGCCTTGCAGGCCCACAGCCAGCTTCTGCAGCACCCCCCTTTTACTAAGGGTCTACAGGGGATGCCTCGGCAACAGGGCCCCTTGATGTCCTGCAGAGCCCATCTCCAGAAAAATCTGCAGAAAAAAAAGGAAATGAAAGAAAGGGTGTGAGTGATTTGAGGGTAAGCAAGGCTCACTGGGGGCAGGGAGGGAGGGTACCTGGATGTGATGGGGTGGGAGGGATAGTGATGTGGAGAGGGGCTTTGAAATAATATGGTACAAAAGCTAACTGGCACAACCTGCCTCCTGTTCTCTTCAAGAGCATGGTGACTTCTTTTCTGGGCGGGAAAGTCAGCAGAGAGAGGCAGGGGCCACGTGAGCCTCCCTTAGAAACATACGGTGGAAGGGCACCGCAAGCAAACCTCATTGGCAAAGGGAGGCATGGGAGTGGGGAGCAAGTGAGGAGTTTTGGGCATGTGCTTACCTGCAGTGGTGGGAACTCTGGGCAGGACTTCTGGGTGAGATCCAGGGCAGCCCAGGAACGGCGAGGGGGGTGTTACTGGTTCCTCGGATGCATAGCAGTAACGAGGGATGACAGGCAGGAAGCAGCCCTCGGGATCCCTGCTGAAGAGGGAGTCCTGGTGAGGGACCTACAGGGTGAGCAGGGGCAACAGCAAGGCGGGCAGCTCCCTGTCCTCAGTTTCTCTTTCTGCCAGGAGGGCCCTGAGCACTCCCTGCTTGCACCACCTCCCTCCCTGGGGCCTGGCTCTGGCCCCACCTCCACTTGGCATAGCCTCCTGAGTGGCTGTCATGGCCAGGCTGGACAAAGCCCCCTCCGCCTCTCTCCTCCTGACAGCAGGAAGGGCTGGAGGGGGCCCTGCTACCTCGGCGGGGGGGCGAGGCTGCCTCTCTGCATGGGGCCCCAGCCTGGCCCCATCTGGGAGGGGTGACGCGAGGGGTGGGAAGAGCCGAGGTAGGACCAGGCAGGGCTCCACACAGGCCTCCCTGGCCTCTGCCTTGCAGGCCCATATCACAGCCGGCTTCTGCGCCGCCTGCAGCACCCCCTTTCACTAAGGGTCCACAGGGGATGCCTCGGCAACAGGGCCCCTTGATGTCCTGCAGAGCCCATCTCCAGAAAAATCTGCAGAAAAAAAAAGGAAAGGGTGTGAGCAATTAAGGGTAAGCAAGACTCACTGGGGGCAGGGAGGGAGGGGGCCTGAATGTGATGGGGAAGAAGGGATAGTGATGTGGAGAGGGGCTTTGAAATAATATTGTACGAGAGCTGACTGGCACAACCTGGATAGGACTAGGCAGAGCTCCTCGCCGGCCTCCATCTTGCAGGCCCATCTCACAGCCGGCTTAAGTGCTACCTGTAACCCCCCCCCCCCCCCCCCCTTTGACATCTTGCAGAGCTCATTTCCAGAAGAATCTGCAGAAAAAAAGGGTGTGAGGTATTGAGGGTTAGCAAGGCTCACTGGGGGCAGGGAGGGAGGGGGCCTGGATGTGATGGGGTGGGAGGGATTGTGACATGGAGCAGGGCTTTGGGGACCCTTCCTCTGAGGCTAAGAGGGTGTGCCCTGCCCATCTATCCAGAGCTGGGGGGGAGGGGTTCTGACCCTCCTTTTGGGGCTTCTAAGCCACACTCAGTCACTATAAAGTGCTAGTCCTTACAGGCAGGGGCAAGGGCAAGGCTTCCAGCACCTCCTCCTCCTCCTCCCTCCTCACCCAGAGGGTCTGGAGCGCTCCCTGCTCCTGCCGCAAAAGCTGCCTGCTTCCCTGGGGCCTGGCCCCACCTGGGTGGCCCTTGATAGAGGGGAAGAGCTAGGGCGGGAGAAGACAGGGCACTTCTGCTCCACTTCCACCTCTGCCCTGGCATTGGGGCCCCAGAGGGGGTTCTGCAAGAGAAGTGTTGCTTGGCCTTTGGTTCATTGTGACCTTGAGCATGGAGGACAGGGAGGTAGTTGCACTGGATGTCCCTTGTGGTCTCCTCCAACTCTTCTATACAGACAACTGAGGAGCCCCACCTCCCGTTCTGTTCAGGAGTCTCCTCCTAACTTCAAGCGCACAGTGGCTTCTTTTCTAGGCGAGAAAGTCAAAAGGGAGGGGCAGGGGCCACGTGAGCTTCCCTCAGAAACATGAGATGGGAGGGCACCTCAACCAAACCCCATTGGCGAAGGGGAGGATGGGTGGGGAGCAAATGAGTTGTGTGCATGTGTGCTTACCTGCAGTCGCGGGAACTCTGGGCAGGACTCTTCGGTGAAGTCCAGGGAGTCCTAGGAGCAGCAAGGGGGCATCATGGGGTCCTCTGGTATCTGGTGGCAGATGGTGGGCAGGATACAGCCCTCGGTGTCCCAGCTGAGGATGGAGGCCTGGCTTGTGGGCCCTCTGGAACGGGCAGTGGGAGGAGGGCCATGGGCGGCAGCATACCCTCTGCATCCCTCCACTTTCAGGGGGCCTGAGGCCCTTGCTGCTGCTGCATTCTTCCCTTGAGCATGGGCATGGGCCTGACCCTGCTGGGATGTTCCTCGATGTTGAGAAGGAAGACCCAGGGCTGGATGAGGTGGAGCACTGGATGGTCCTGGGCTGCTTCCTTCTATGTCTGGATGAGGGTTTGCTTTTATAGCACCTCTGCCTTAGACCTCACATTCAGGGCCCAGAGGGGGCGCTGTTGGAGGGGGACTGCTTGGCCTTGGCTTTTCTCCAAAGTGAACTCTAGGAATAGGAGTAGTAGGAGAGGGAGTCTGGAGTAGGGCAAGAGGGCAGGCGGGATGGCTGGCAAGTGAGACTCACTGGGGCAAGGAGTGCATTGGCTTCTGGATCATTCAGGGGAAAGGAGCAGGAGGTGAGGAACGGAGTCAGGAGCCCCGGTTGGCGAGGGGGGCAGAGGGGAGGGAAGGAGAGGTCATGGATGTGCTGTGGTGGGAGGGGATTGTGACAGGGCCAAGGTAGGGGGAAAGGCTTCAGGAAAGGTTTGGTGATCCTTCCTCTGAGGCTGAGAGAATGTGCTCTGCACATGCTCCCTCAGCGGCCTTCCAGGTCCGAGGGGGTGTTCAGACCCAGATCTTTCAGATTTCCTAATCCATCACTATACTATGAGCACCCACCCTGCTGGACACAGATGGCCTTGATAAGCCCGAGGCTTCCCGGACCTTTTCCATGCCTGTTTGTGTCAGCACTCACCTTGTAAATAGTGGGTTGGGGAAAATGATTCCTACTGATAAGAACTGGACAGAGGATTTCCACAATGTGGGGACATAAACTGTGATGTGAAATGGCCTGGATGTTTTAAGACACTAGGGTGACAATATCATGCTAGTTTTAAAGATTTTTTAAAGGAAAATTTTTGTCATTTAAAAAAAACAGAGAATGAAGGGCATATGCCTGCGGATATGCAAAAGAGACACTCGCTGGAACACCTCAGCAAGCAAGAGTCCAAAAGTGGCAGGCTCAAACCCAGAACCTCAACCAACAGCTGATACCAGATGAGAGACTCCCTCCTGGGCACACAGAAAACTGGGCAACTTGGAAGGCGCTGAACAGACTGCGCTCTGGCACCACGAGATGCAGAGCCAACCTTCAGAAATGGGGCCACAAAGTGGAATCCTCGACATGCGAGTGCAGAGAAGAGTAAACCACTGACCACCTGCTGCGACGCACCCTGAGCCCTGCCACATGCACAATGGAGGACCTCCTTGCAGCAACACCAGAAGCACTCCAAGTGGCCAGATACTGGTCAAGGGACATTTGATCAACTACCAAACTCACAAGTTTTGTATTTTGTCTGTTTGTTTGCTTTGATCTGTTAGTAATGTAATATTTGACTGGTTGTCCTAACACGACAAATAAATAAATAGTTGGTGAAAAAGTCTGTATTTAATCTACAGCCCACCTTTTGATATAAAGCATCTCCAAAGCAGTTTTCAAAGACCATTGAAAAGTCAAACAATAATAAAACCAGCAAGAATCAACACAACAAATAGAACAAAATTTTGAAAAGACCTGGAGCAATTAAAATAATGTTGACTGTTGCCAAAATGGAGAAAAACACTGTCTTTGTTTATTACTAAACGATGTCAAGGTAGATGTGAAAATGTACTTATCAGAGGGAGGAAGCATCTCATAAATGAAGGAATTTAAATGGAGTTTAGGAAGTTACTTTTAATGCAAGTGGACACCATTCATCCCCTTAATAGTAGATTGATGTTTTTGAATGCAGAGCATCAACTTACCACTGCATGGTTAGTGGATAGTTTCAAAGTTGTTATGTTCATTCATTATGAAAGTCGCTTTCTATAGTCTGCTTTTGAGTCTTTTGAGTTATACTGAACTCCCTTTTGGGCAGAACAGACAAATCAGCAGTTCTTAGCTGTGGTGTAAACAGAGTATGTACACATGACTTTTACATTTCTCCTCCTTTTGAGAACATAGCCTACACAAGCTAGCAGCTACAGTCTGTTGTAATCAAAGGCCTTGAGATTTTGATTGATCCCACTAGTCTCTTTTTTTTATATATAAATTTTTATTAAAGAGTTTTCATTGCAATACATACACAACAATACATACAATCATTCAAAACATAAATCATTAGACATGGGTTAATTCTTAGAACTTACTTATTACATTCATCCTCTATGACTTCCTACTTAAGATATTCTGATCCATGGAAATTCCTCAAATATTTACAAAATCAAGAAGACAAAGAGTAGTAACGGCTTTCTATAAACCTATGTCTACTGTAACTTACATTCTACTAAAACTTAACCCTAAACAAAGTGAAACAAAAGGAGGTCAGGGGAGTAAATGGGTAGGAAAAGGGGAATTGGAGGTAATAGGAAAAGAATAGGTTGTAAGGTGTGAATCATTCATCCGTGCATCCATTGTACTTCCTAACAGTCCCAGGGATTTCTTACAACTTGTATATTTAACTACATATTTTCTAATTTTGTTGCAGTCGTCAACAATAAGTACCTTATAACTTTAACTTTTTCTTTTCTTTGAAATATTGTCTAAGAGGGTTCCAGTCAACTCTTTTCTTATCACTAGTATTCTCTATCATATTAGATAACGTATCTAATTCCATAAAGTCCTTTATCTTAATTATCCATGCTTCCATGGGGGGCAATTCCCTCATCTTCCATTTGCTCGCTATCACCGTTCGGGCTGCCGCTGACAGATGAAATAATAGCCTCTCTTTGTTTTTTTCCATTTCAAAATCCAGTAGATGCAGGAGGTAGTATTCCGCCTTTAGGTCAAACTTTACCTGTATAATCCCCTGTACATTTCGATGGATCTCCTTCCAGAAGAGTTTTACTTTTTTGCAGTGCCACCAACAATGTATAAAAGAACCTACTTTAGTGCCACATTTCCAACATAAGTTACTTCCTCCTTGGTGAAATTTGGCCAGTCTTGATGGTGTAAAATACCAACGCGTAAACATCTTGTACCAGCTCTCTTTAATGATTACTGCTTTGGAAAGTTTTATTTTGTTCTTCCAAATATCCTCCCAGTCCTTTAGTAATATGGTGTGGCCCAAATCTCGAGCCCAGGAGATCATGCATTCCTTAATAAGCTCTTTTTCTGTCCGCCATTCCAACAATTTTATATAAAGGGTTTTTATTACTTTTCTCTCCTTCCCCATTATCCTATCCCAGAAGGAGTCTGCTGGGGCAAAGCCTATTTTATTGTCTTCTTTAAAGCTATCCGAAACCTGGTAAAGATGGAACCAAGAGAAATTTGTGTCTAAGGACTTCAGTTTGTCTAATGATTTTATACTATATTGGTTTTCTTCCTTATCTAGTAATTCCTTATAAGTGTGCCAACTGCCACTGGGCATCTCCCTTTTATGGAAAGCCTCCGTGGGCGACACCCAAAGGGGTGTTTTGCCATAGAACCTAGTTCTATATTTCTCCCAGACTTTCAGTAGCGGGGCTCTGATGATGTGGCTGGTAAAATTCTTTTCTATTTTGGCTTTTCCGTGCCATAAATAGGCATGCCAGCCTCTCCTTAATTCTGCACCCTCTAGGTTCAAGAGCTTTTTCTTTTTTAAGGTGGTCCATTCCCTTACCCATACCAATGCGGCAGCCTCAAAATATAACTGAAAATCCGGTAGGGACAGGCCACCCCTCTCTTTTGATTCTATCATGGTTATATATTTAATCCTTTCTTTCTTTCCTTGCCATATAAATTTCTGCATATCCTTTTTCCATAACACAAAAAGATGTTTGGTTCTGAGTATCGGAAGCATTTGGAATAAGAAGTTCATCTTTGGAAGCACTTTCATTTTTATCAGAGCTACTCTCCCCATTATACTTAGCCTAAGTTGTTTCCAGCTTTCTAGTTTCTTAGATATTTCCCTCCACGTCTGTTCGTAATTATTCTTTACCAATTGTATATTACTTGCTGTCAGAATTATCCCTAGGTATTTCACTTTATTGGCTAAAGTAAAACACGAAATCCTCTCTAGTTCAAGTTTCTTGGGTCCGCTGATGTTTTTTGTTAGGAGCTTGGTCTTCTGCTTATTTATTTTTAACCCCGCCACTTTTCCATAATCTTGAATCTTTTCTATCCAGTTTATGATGTTCTCCGTTGGGTTCGATATTATACAGACAATATCGTCCGCATACGCTTTTAATTTAAACTCGTCATTTCTTATTTTAACCCCCTTCAGATTAGCATCTCTCCTAACATCTTCTAATAAAATCTCCAGAGATAGGATGAATAGAAGGGGGGAGAGGGGACAACCCTGTCTAGTGCCTCTTTCGATTTTTATTCTTTCCGTAAGATGACCATTTACTTTTATCCTGGCACTTTGAGTAGTATATATAGCCTTCATCATGTTATTAAATTGGTAGCCCATATCTCTTTCTCTTGCTATATGCAGCATAAAATTCCAGTCTATCTGGTCGAAGGCCTTCTCGGCGTCTAAAAACAAAAGGCCCAATTCTCTTTGATGGTTAGTCTCGTGAAATTCAATGATATCAGTTATTGTTCTTATATTATCATGCATTTGTCTTCTTGGAAGAAAGCCGTTTTGGTCTTCATTAATTACCTCGTTAAGGTAAATTTTCATCCTACTGGCCATTATGTGTGCAAATATTTTATAATCAATGTTCAACAAAGCAATCGGTCTGTAGTTCCTAACGTTATCTTCCTCAGATCCTGTTTTATGTATTAGAGTGATAAACGCCTCGTTCCAGGATTCTGGAATAATGGCTTCGTTGAGTATTTTGTTGCATATTATCTTCAGCTGTGGAGACAATTCTTCCTGAAACATCTTATAGTATAGGGCTGTTAAACCATCAGGCCCGGGAGATTTGTCCATGGGTAGTTTATTAATCGCCTTGCTGATCTCACTTTCGTCTATCTGTTTATTTAATAGCTCCCTTTGTTGTTCAGTGAGTTTAACCAGATTATGTTTTGTCAGGTATTTTACTATTTCTTCTTCCATTATATTTTCTTTCTTGTATAAATCTTTATAAAATTTGCCAAATTGGTTTCTTATCCCTTCCTCCTCTGTATAGAGCGTCCCTTCATTAGTAATCCTCATAATATGTTGTGCTTGTCTTTTTTCCCTAAGACTCTTTGCCATTAACTTGCCCGGTTTATTGGCCTGAGCATAATATTTGGCCTTCATATATTTTAGATTTTTCGTTATATGTTCCAATTGGTTAGAATCTCTTTTTTTCCTCAGTAGCTCTAACTCTAATTTCACTTTTTTGTTACCTGGTTTCTTTTTTAGTAAGTTCTCTTTTTCCTCAATATCCTTTGTCAGAATAGCTAATTCCTCTATTCTTTTTTTGTTACGAATTATTCCTTGCTGAATTAGGTGACCTCTAATAACGGCCTTACCTGCGTCCCATACAACTTCTTCACTTACTCCCTTATTAGCATTTAACTCAAAAAATTCCTTAATTCGATTTCTGCATAAAGCCACTAGTCTCTTGAGAGCAGATCGAAAGGGAGATCCATGGTTTGATCCAGAAGTATTTGTTTTGTGTGTGTGGTTTTTTTTTTTTTTTGCTGGCTGGAACTGTGTTAAGTGAGGAAGTGCTGTAATGGCATGAAAAACTGTATCAACGAGACTAAGAATGACAGCTTGCAAAGAGATCACAGAACAAGCACTTATGATCATAATATGTTTCAGAGTTGCTAGCGGTCTGGGCCAGCCCTATTGTTTGGCAGCCATGAGAAAATTGCCTCAGACATCAGTAGTATTTGTCTCCCCTTCCCTAGAGTTCCTCTCTATTGAAGGACAGAGTACATTATACAGCTTGCCCTACTGCCCTAAACTACATGGTTGCTCCTTGGTGTGGGTAGGGTTGCCCAATCTGCGAGTCTAGTCCTGAGTTTCCAGTTTTTGTGGCTCATCTCTAGTGGAGGTTGATGAGAGTTGCACACTCTTGAGATGTGATGGGCTTAGTTCTAGGCCAGAGGCTGCCCATCTCCAGCTTGGTTAGGAGAAAGGCAGATTTCTATGATTTGCATGTTGGTTGTTTGTTATTGCAACTTGCAAAGATTCCACAGAGGGTCTTTGGATTTACTTGCTAAGTTTCCCCCTGCTCCCTTGTTATCTTCAGCACAGGCCTGCATCCACCTTCTGACAAGAGCAAGTAGGATACATTTTATGTTTCTCACTCCAGTTCTCTAAGATGAAAAGGGACAATGCTCTCATTACAGTTTGGGCTGGAAACAGCCCCTTTGTCCAAAATTTGTATCACAATTGCTAAACAGGTAAATATGATATATCTGATTAGATATCTCATTGATTTTCCAAGGCTGTGTGAGGACTGAAACTTTCGTCTTCAGAAACAAAGCAGCTTGACCTCATTAACTTCCCAGGCTCCATGCTGTAGAATTATTCTCAGAAACAGACCTCCAAAATTAGGAATGGGTAAATTGGCTCACAAGGTCCCACTTTGCCCTCAAAACACGGAAAGTCTTATTCTGTAGTATTAGCTGTTAACACTTAGTTAACTGGGTCTGAATCCTGAGATAACAGGGAAGGCATGTTTGTATTTCTGTAATGCAATACTAAGTAACTTTCTTAATTACTTCTTTTTTATTTATTCAGCATAATGGACATGATTCTCTTCAGACTTCTAAACCAGAACTCCATCACTATAAAGCAACATGATTCCTAGCACAGACTGTAAGGAGAAAGAGCCGGTCCAAGAGCCAGAGACTGAGTTTGAAGCATGCAACTACCAGAATCCACTTCCCTCAGAGCTGTGGCAAGTTCCAGGGACTGAAACTGAAGCCAGCAGCACCCAGAAAGTCTCAGAAAGCTGTTGCAGAGGCAACAGCAAAGTGAAAATATGGTAGCCTGTTCCACTCTAGCATCCAACCTGTCTTGATATGTATGTACATATAATGCTTTCCCGCTGATCTTTGTGCCTCAGTCTTTCTTTTTCAAGGCAGCATTGATTAACTCTCTCAAAATTCTACTTCTTGAGTCTCAGAGCAAACATAGAGAAAGGCAGGGAAAGATCTGGTCTCTTCCTGGCCAGTTCTGCTCCTGGTTCCCTCCAGAAGACCTCAGGGCCAACAAAACCAACAGGGATCCCCAGTAACAATAGGCCTGAGTTTTGGGAAATCAGGCTGTGACCTAAGTCCAGTGGAAGAAAACCATAATCCAAGGCAACAAGACGTTAGAGCAGCAATGTTTCAGGGTTTAAATGTGTTGCACAACAGCACTGGTTTTGTCATTCAAACTCCTGCTTCTTGATTTTTGGAGCAGACATAGAGAGAGGCAGGAAAGAATCTCAAGTCTTCGTGGATGGTTCCACTCTTGGTTTACTCAGGAAGACCCCGGAACCAAAGAAGCCAAAACTACTTACTGACAAAATAATAGAAAACCTTGACAAGAGTGGCATTAGCCCCCCCCCCCCAAACCAGTCTTCACCAGAATCTCCTTCCCAGTGGCCCCAAACTTTGCTTATTGTTCTCTCTGCTCCAGCCATATCAGAACAGCCATAATAATAATAATAATAATAATAATAATAATAATAATAATAATAATAATAATAGGGATCTGCACACATTATTCGCCGATACATCACACAGTCCAATACAACAACCAGCAGAGTGATCTTGTCTGCTGTGGACTCATCTTGTTGTGTTTCTAATAATAATGATAATGATGTCACCACTGCTGTTCATCATTGCAATGATCCCTCTGTCAGTAATTCTACAGAAAACAAACCTGGGCTACCAAACAGCAAGAAATTCACCAAAGATTTCCCCACTTGCTGTACATGGATGATCTAAAGCTTTACGGAAAATCAGAAAAAGAAATCCAGTCACTGACCAACACAGTCAGAATCTACAGCATTGACATCAGTATGGAGTTCAGACTAGACAAATGTGCCACAGTGGCATTAAAGAAAGGGAAAATTACCCACAGCGAGGTCATAGAGATGCCAAATGGACAAACCATAAAATGCAATCAGCCTGAAGCCTATAAATATCTGGGCATACTACAGTTGGACAATATCAAGCATGGACATGTGAAAAATGTGGTCAGCAAAGAATATATCCACCTGGGCCATCCCGTCATTAGATATACTGCTGGAATTGTGAACTGGATGCAAGCAGAGCTGGATGACCTGGACAGAAAAACATGAAAACTGATGACAATCCACCTCTCATTACACCCGCATAGTGATGTCGACAGACTTTACCTGCCCAGAAAATCAGGAGGCAGAGGGCTTCTGCAAGTGAAACAAACGGTAGAAGAAGAGAAACACGCACTGGTAGATTGTGTGAAAGGCAGTCAAGAACCAACATTGAGGGAAGTCAATAGTAGTAAACTGCTTCAAGTGCAAAAGACAAAGAATTAATACTGTAAAAACACAATCCAGAGCAGAAGAGAAAACTGGCAAAAGAAGGCTCTTTGTGGACAGTTCCTGGAAAAATTGAGAGCCAAATTGACAAAGAAAAAACATAGCTGTGGCTCACAAATGGAACTTTGAAAAAGGAGATAGAGGGCCTGATTCTGGCAGCCAAAGAACAAGCTATTAGAATAAATGCCATCAAAGCCATAATTGAAAAGTCGACAACAGATCCCAAGTGTAGACTCTGCAAGGAAGCAAATGACACAATGGATCACATCCTCTGCTGCTGTAAGAAGATTGTGCATACAGACTACAAGCAGAGGTATAACATTGTTGCTCAGATGATTAATTGGAACTTGTGCCACAAATACCATCTACCTGTGACAAAGACCTGGTGGGATCAGAAGCCGGAAAAAGTTACAGAAAATGAACACCTCAGGCTATTCTGGGACTTTGGGGTTCAGACAGAGTTTTGGAGCACAATCGTGTTAAAAAACAAAGTGTGGATTGTCCATGCTGCAATCCAGGGTGACAGCAGGATTGAAGAGAAACAACTGGAAAAGATGATACAATATGAGGATTTAAAGATCAAACTGCAAAGACTCTGTCACAAACCAGTAAAGGTGGTTCCAGTGGTGATCGGCACACTGGGTGCAGTGCCTAAAGACCTTGGCCTGCACTTAATCACAATCAGTGCTGACAAGATTACCATCTGCCAGCTGCAGAAGGCCACCTTACTGGGATCTGCACGCATTATTTGCCGATACATCACACAGTCCTAGACACTTGGGAAGTGTCCGACGTGTGATCCAATACAACAGCCAGCAGAGTGTCTGCTGTGGACTCATCTTGTGGTGTTTCAAATAATAATAATAATAATAATAATAATAATTATTAATAATAATATACCACCCTATCACCCTACCTCCCCCAGGGGACTCAGGGCGGTTTTCAATACATGCAAAGACATAAAAGAATATACAGAGTATTCAAACAAAAAACAAAATTATGAAGACAAAACAAATACAGGGTAAAACCAAGTTCAAGCACTATTCCATAATCTGAAGTGAATTACTAAGGGCTGAGATGGTCAGAGTAGACCTAAACCATCTAAGGGGGCAATGCCCAGGATAGTGTAGATCAATATTGGGCTAGGAAGATGAAGGGGAAAAATAGTTGATTCTTTTTCCTACCCTCGCCCCATTATTCTTTCAACCACCTGCTCTGCTACTTCTCATCCACCCATAGAAGCAAAGAGTTGGAAGAGCCATCCAACCCCCTGACATACAGAAACACAAAATGAAGGCAACCCCCCCCCCCCCCCCCCCGGCCACAGATGGCCATCCAGCTTACAATCCTCCAGAGAAGGAGTCTCCACCATGCTCTGGATTACAGACTCAAGCTTTCCTTTGAAAAATATGAAATCTTTCAAAAATGAGAACATGTTTGCCATCTGTTTCTGCTTCAGCCACATTTTACATTTTCTTCAGAAAGAAAAATAGGGTGTTTCCTTTTTTGGCTGAGATACAGTACTTTCATTCAACAGTGGCAGACCCTCTGGGTCTTGAGTTCCAAGGCTGGGGCACATAGGAAGCAGGCCCTGAGTCAGGCCCACAAACTCACAGAGTAAGAGAGACCAGAGTTGTCCCTGAGAACAATGCTGCTGCCTTGAGGAGAGAACTGGAGGAAGGTTCCTTCCAAGAATTAAAAATATACTTCGAACACAAAGCCTTCTCAGAAGAGGAGATAAGCTGGCAACATTGCCTCATACATCCTGGAACTCCCTGAATTTGACTCATGGGTTTTGGTCAGCTTTCTCCTTAGGACAGATAGGCCCTCAAGGCTCCTCCTTGCCACACTGCAACAAGCCTGAGGAGAGAGCCAGAGGAAGGAGAGTTCATTCCAGCCAGGCATCCCTTCCTTGGGGGAGGCCACTTTTCAAAGCCTTGAGGAGCTGGTAACATCACCTTGCCGTTCCCCGATCTCACCCAGGAATTGTTGCTGGCCTTCTCAGAGAGCTAAGGGCATATGCACAGGCCTTCTCCCCCACCCCCCATTTCCCCACACCACATCCACTGGTGTTTACTTGAGGGTACCCTTTTGCTTCACATGTCTGAGGGAGGCTCAGGATGCCCAGGTTCCTTCGCTTCTGAGTTTCCTGCCTAGAAAAGAAGTCACGATGTACTTGAAGGGAGAGGCTTCTGAAGAGAAAGGGAGGCTTGATATCTCACATTTTCCCCAAATTTTGGCTGGCCACAATCTCCTCCCACCCACACCACAACCATGGTCCTTTCCCCATCCTTCTGCCCTCTGTGAGAGGTTGAGGGGGTGCTGCCACCCTTGGCCCTCCCACTGCCAGTCCTGGAGACACCACCTCACCAGGCCACCATCTTCAGCCGGGACCCTGAGGGCTGCTTCCTGCCTGCCATCCACTACCGGGTGCCAGAGGGCCCCAAGATATACCTTTGCCATTCCTGGTCTTCCATGGACCTCAGCCGGGACTTCTGCTGGCTTTCCCACCACTGCAGGTAAGCATGCACGCACAGGATTCCTTGCTCCACCCCCACATGGTCAGATTTTCTTAGAGGGGGCTTGTCCTAGTCCAGTAAGCAAAGAGTAGATGGTCAGGATTGGTTAGGAATAGGGAGCGGAGCCTAATATTCAGATAGAGGGAAAAAAGTGTACTTTTTGAATTTTAGGCTTGGGTTTTGGCAGTTGGGATTTGTCAGTTGAGAGTTAGGTAGTCAGTTGGTGTTCACAGATAGATAGGAGAATTGGGTTAATCTTTTGTAGTATTCAAGGGCTAGAGTTTGAAAGTTCTCAAGAAGGTTTACTAAATTCTCATCCTGGAAAAGACTAGTCACAAGTATAGCTTAAATTCTACACTTCATCAAGTATAAAAATAACAAGCCCACTTCTACAGATGACAGAAAAGAAGCAGAAATAAAAATAATCCTAATTGTACAATCAGAGGTGTACAGAAGGGAAGTACAGAACCTTAGACAGCACCAGTTTATACCAAAATCGAGTACTCTAAGATATTCTCAATCCTTTTTTAGACAGTTCCGGAGTACTAAGAGTTGGGGATTGTTTAACTCAGTCCAAACTTAAGATGGAAGAGAAACATCTGTACATTTTACCAGCTAAACATATTGCATTACTTCTTATATGACATTACCATGCCAAAATATATCACCAAGGTAGACACTTTACAGAAGGGACTGTAAGAAGTGCTGGAGTTTGGATAGTAGGAAGAGTTCCAATCCTGACAATTCAAGATATCAAGGGGAGGCCAGAGAATGAAAGTTGTTATTGCAGAAAAAAACCCTAGTTACCAAGGTCATTCATGACTGTGTTATTTGTAAAAGACTTAAGAGGTGGACATCCCCAGCAAATCATGGCTGACCTACCAAGAGACCGTATAACCATACAACCACCATTCGCCAATGTCAGTGTAGACATTTTGGACCATGGGAGATAGTTACTAGGAGAACAAGAGGAGGGGTAGGAAACAACAAGAGGTGAGCAGTAATGTTTACTTGTCTATCCT